GTTTGAATTAGATTTTGGAGAGCTGTAATTTATATTTTAACCACTGCTTACATTATTATGCCACCGTATATTACAGGTAACTATTTTATAAGTACTTCTGTACACACTGCAAGAGGACTGACTGATACTTAGTATTACAAAAATTATTTTCTCTTTGAATGTCTCACCAAATTTCACTGCATCTCTTAAGTGTCATGTCAATTGCTGTTGGTTTCTCCTGTGACCATAAGTGCTACCCTTGTGTTTAATAGCACTTGAGTTACTTTAATTATTAAACTCAGCATGCCTATTTTTGGACACAATTGCATGAAACTCCATTCTGCATTTTACAAATGTCAAGTATGTAAAATAAATGTAAGAAAAGAAAATAGATTTTGACAAAATGCTATCTTGGACAGAACTACACAGAGACACTCTAAAGCAATTACCGGTAACCGTGATTTCCAAAGTGTTTGTGTTGGTGCCTTTTAACGATGTTCACAGATGTTCACTATATCATCTCTATCAGCATTTTATCTAAGTTGGCGTAGAAACTGAGTTTCTCTCAAGCTCTGCAGACAGGCCAGCTGGTAGTTTGATGTAAAATTCCAGTTATTGAATAATAGTTCAAACATTGATGGATAATAAAGGTGGCAACTTGTAATTTTTATACATTGAAAATTAACAATTAAGAATTCATTTTTTCAATTTGATTGGAAAGTGTCTGTTAACTGCAATTGTAAAGTGCGCAAGTGTTCTTAAAAAGTTTTAAAGAATCATTTAATCTACCCAATACAACATGCAAGTTTGATGTTGCCAGTGTACTGGTACAATTCCTCTCTATAAATTTCTGTTAATGCCTAAATACCACAAATCTCAACATTCTATATCCGAATTGTTTCATCATCAAGTTCAACCACACAAATCCTTCGCTGATTGAAAAAAAAAATCGTCTTGAGTATGCACTGGATACTAACTTTGAAGGAGAAAAACACTATTACCACTGTATTATATATACGTTAACTTTGAAAGTATAACTGCTGTAACTAAACAAAGCTTGCCAATAATTCTTGAAAGGACTAGGATACAATCAAAACAAGTGAACTGTGGAGGACAAGTATAGAGGTGGTAAAGTGAGCATGTGTGTGTGTTCATGTAGCGTAAAGCACCCATTGAGATTTGCAGCCTGGGTCATCGTATAGGGCAGTACAGACTATAATTCTACACAATACAATCAGTATTTGCATCTAAATTGCTAACACACTTTTAATTGTAATAGTAATTGTGTGGCTTCTTTTGTCCGATTATTTGGCTTTAATAAGGTTATAAAGAGAACTGTGGTTTGTACGTGGGTACTACTTAGCCTCTGTTGTTACTGCAGTTTGTACCCCATCTGTACTGTGTTTTGGTTATACAGATGGCTTCTTTCTTTTTATCTATTTGTTTATCCTTGACAAGCATTAGTAAAAAATGTCCCAGATGTTGGGTTTCAGTGAATGCAGTAAATTGTTTGCGATGATTGCAATGTTTGGATTGAAAACATTATTACTTATGTGAAAAACATCCAATTACTGGATTGTAAAGTGGAGGCTTTGTGGAGTTACTCTGTGATGGTGTCTCCTTTTTAGTATTTGGTTTGTTCTGCAGTATGTTACCCTTTAAATCGTGGTGAAAAGTGGTAAAATGATAGGTTCTATGAGTTTAAGGTAGGATTCAATGTACATTGGTTTGAGATATACTTGTCTCCTTGGTAATTTGAGACCAGCCTCAAGGCTGTTTGTAGACTGACCAAAAGTGGATTTGTTAAATGTAATTATTGCATAGGACCGCAGTTGCTGTTAAACCAGAACTCTCCAATCTCTGGGGTTGCACCATGGAATCATGGGATACTATTGTTCTTATTGTTTAAACAACTAATCTGTCTATTGTTTCCCATTGTCTTTTTAATCCAGTAAATAAATACACTGAAAATGTATCCAATAAACAACCCTATACATGCTCAGAGATTGTAGTTGTTCTTTCTGGCTGTTGTTATGCTTCAAATCAGTAGAATGCCCTTGACATTGAACTTGTTAAAATGAGATTAGCTAGTTCCCTCAGCCACTTAATTATGCCTGGACCATTGTGGAGGTGAGGGAAACCATCTCAATTTATTTGTATACTGATGGGTGATATCAACTGCTACTAAAATCAGTTACACACATTTATGCAGTTGCATTGGGAGCATTTTGATTGTTTAGTAAGTCTTACCTGGTTATTTGTCTCTTATTTGTGTTTTATTTTGATGAAACATAACCTGAGAAGGCACAAAAATCAAGTTGTTGTGTTTTTCTGAGTGTGTATACAGTGTTGTTTTACAATACTGTAAAGAATACAGTATGTGTGTGCAAGTAAATACCATGTCCGGTATGTTCACTGTTAGTCATTTTGGACATGCATGCATTGAATTTATGAGGTTTGGGTTGCATGAATTGGTGTTGGAATAGCAAGAACATGCATCCTCCCATCCATACATGTATATTGTTTATTGTTTTCAGCCGTATACTGTTTATTCTAGTGTCCAATTACCCCCATTTGCATTCATTAAACATGCTTCATTTTTTCTTCACCAAATCCAATTCAGCTGGGAAGTGTCTTATATAAACAACTTTCTTTTAAAATCCCTGTTTTTAAAATTGTTTCTTTTTGTGCATAAGAATCAATTGTGTCATAAAAGAAACTTAATTGGTCAGCACGTCTTGTATAAATGTAGTATTAAGTTTATGGCTGGTCATGCCGTACTACACAATGGTTGTTTTCTTAGGTTTTATATTTTGTCAATTGGCGAAGCCACTTATTGTGACATTTTTTTCAGTGCATGTGGTTGGCAGTAGTTAAACAGACAATTCTAGTATAAGACTGAAATGTTTTTTTCAAAGTGTAAACTGTCTTACAGGTGTTCTTGGTTTGTTTTTGTCATCTTGCATGACAGATGGTATCAACACAATGGCCTCTTTAGTTCCAAACAACTTTAACATCCTAGGATAGAATTTGCTTTTGTTGTTCAACAACCCAGCTAATTTGGTATAATGTCCTTTTATTTAGTCTTTGTTCTTATTCATGTTTGCTTTTAGAGTGTCTGTCAAAACTGTCATTGATATGTGCATTTTCGCATATTTTTCTGTGATTGTTTTGTTGCTATGCAACATCGTGAGCATCTGGATGCGGTCAGAACAAATATTATAGCAGATTAGAGGTGTATGCACGCATACAAAAAATACACATCGGGATGTTATTTGCTCTGTGGAAAGTAGTGCTTTTAATATCAAAACATTCAAAACTTTAATATGTGATAATGTGAATAAAACAAAATAAAATAAAAAAAAAGCTCCGTTTCAATAAACAACAAATGATACTGATAAAAGCTATACCATAGTATTTACCTAGTTTGTGATGTACACATAAATCTCATTGTTAATGCATGGCATGGTGTAAGGTATGGCATGGCAGGGTGGCTGTACTTATTGTATTTTAATATTACATTAAAGGTCAACATTACCAGTAGTTTCTCAGATTAATGTAGAAATAGAAAATAATATTGAGTCTCATCCTTAAAATGTGAAACTGAGTACATGGTAAGGATGACAGTCAACAACTGAGTCTGATGTTCAATCCCTGGAGATGCAAGTGATTTACAACATTAATTTATTGTTGAGTCTTTAGAA